TGTGTGTGTGTGTGTGTGTGTGTGTGTGTGTGTGTGTGTGTGTGTGTGTGTGTGTGTGTGTACGTAATATACAGGTCACCATTGTGCCTTCCATTTACACCGTAGACAGCCAGGCTGCTTTTATCTGACCAACTCTTTTGCTAATACAGAAAAGAATATTTTTCTGAGTAAACGTTTAGTAAACATCTTGAATATACGATGTATAATGTTAGTTAGGCACTGAAAAAAATAGTATGTCATTCTGTGAGATATAACATCACCATACTAAATCATGCCTGTGGGATTTAGTACCAAAACATGGGCTTTGTTTGTTTGCTTTTTTACTCTGGATATTTTATCGGGCATTAATGAATCAAAACCTTTCTTTTCTTCAGTTCTCTTATTCTCTGTATTTGAACGGAAAATTCTCTTAACGACTTGAATTTTTCTGGTTCGAGATTTCAACTAGAAAGTTTTATGCTTTGGGCCTTTGGATAGTTTTCATTGGTCCCCTCTCATGGTCCTGTCGGATATTCATTGGTCCCCTCTCATGGTCCTGTCGGATATTCATTGGTCCCCTCTCATGGTCCTGTCGGATATTTACTAGCACGAAATTACAAAGCTACATCTGACCTTTTTGGCCGTTTTTAGTTATTAAGGCCAGGAGGTCAAAAACCGCGTTTACTATCTGCTCCATCAAAATTGTAAGATAATTCGGATTCATTGTCAAGATATTCAAAGAATGATATTATTCTACTGAAAGATCTTTTTAGAAGCACAAAGTTCTATCTGCAAGAGCAGCGTTGTGTCACCACGCGTTGAAATTAAGCGCTCGTCAATTTTGAGGCATATGAATTGTTGCTCTAATTCTGTTCTTTTATCTTGTTTCGGGGGGGGAAATAGCCATCTGTCTTGAATAGAAGACAAGATTTTTATGATTGAAGAAGTCGGGGTTATCTGCTGTCAGAGGTAAAAATAGCAAGAGAATGGCCGCCAAAGCTCAGTAGCGTCCAAGGCTTGAGACTCTCTGGAAACTGAAAAATCTACAATTTCTGTGGTTTGATTAGTTCTTTTGGGGAAAAAAATCCACATAAAAATGTATTTCTGAATGGACATAAAGGTTGCTGAGCTCTCCCCCCCCCAAAAAAAAACAACCTTACACCAAAAACACACGTTTTGACATAGTCGGAATAGGCAGCAAAATGGCGCCAAGACAAAGACTTTGGTTTATGCTGCTCAAGCCACAACTCTTTTGTTGGATGAGAAGGCTTATGACAGTGACAACGACCCAATGCATTGTCCGCAAGACTCAAATAAAGTTCTATTCTGAAAGATTCGCGGTCTGAAGAAACGTAAAATGTAAGAACTTTTGTCGATATTATTATTATTTCTTAATTTGTTGACTCAAAGTGACAAAGTTCTGTCTGCATACAGCGTGGTGTTCTTATGAATGGAACACTGATTGATTTATAAGGCATTTCAGGCAATATAAATTATAATTCTTTGTTCAGAGTCATTGTAGTGTGGGTTTTTTATTTTGATGGTATTTCGAATAAAGCATTATTGTAATAAGTTTAAAGGTCTTTTCTTAACAATTCTAAAACATATTTTGCAGTTAGAACTTTGTAATAGTTATTTTCACTGGAAGCGTTTAGATTTCTAGAACGACGTGAGACGTAATGAATTTCGGTAGGCTGTAAATCGTGTTGCCACATATGTTGATCTGGTCAACAAGCTAAGGGTTCCAATATTTCCAACAATAAAATGTTCCTCTTCTGTTTATTTGGTAAAATGGGGAATCTGCTTTTTTTGTTTGTTTGTTGTTTTTTCTTTCAGTCAGCTCTTCTGTTGAAGGACGAAGATGGGCTTAAAACTGTTTAGTGTGGTACAGTAAATTGAAGCTATACTGACTTGGCTTAGTTATAAACAATATTAATTTCTGCTGAGATACTGTTGTAACAGAAACGGAACTTAAAGGGTAATTGTTGAATGGGAAGAAAACAGAATTAATGGTCATATAAAAAAGCAGTAAATCCCATTTATTTTATAATTTCATT